CATGTGCGCAGTTAGCAGTTCCAGAAGACAGATCAAATTGCAGGCAAGGTTTTTATTTAATACAATAAAATATTTCCTGATGGTCTAGCTTTAAAATGCGACACCGCTGACGTTGCTAACTAGATGGGATGAAAAGTGATCGGTAGCTTGTGGCAACCAAGACGAGTGCCAAGCGGAAACGATGCTTGACTCAAACAATCGAACTCAAAATGCGGTTCAACATCCCGCTTAACTGTACAGTGAAATAGTAATTTAAGTAAAACTTTGCCCAAGCAAACCGAGGAAATCTTCAAACCGCTACAAGTTTTCCTACATATAAGCTCTCTTTTTGCCGAATGGGAATATCGCAACAAGTACTGTTGTGTGACCATTGTAATGCCCTGAAAATTACTTGTGTGCATATAGTCTTTGCCTTTGTTTTGGCAGCCTATTATTCGTCGCTTCCAAATTGCATATTCTGAGGGTAAAGAAGGTAAGAACCATTAACTTTGTCGTTTATTTACCTGCAGTCGATTGAAAGCGTTTTATGACGCCTGATTAATGCATATATTTTCTCTTTACTTTTCATCGTATGGCAACCCTAGTTTGTAAACTCATTCTGCGGTCGTGATGCTCTTTACCACTATAAGCCTGACAAAGTGTTGCAAAAAATAAACTCACCGACTGTGCACAGCGATCGCCTCAGAAGCTGCATAGTTGTCCGAATGAAATGCTTGGATTGTGAAGTATAGTCCATTTTTGTCCGGTAGAATTTCGGCCCCTGCTGAAAGCAGATAACTCACCACTCCTGCGTTGTCATGCTGGGCTGCAATATGTAGTGCAGTTGACTGTGGGGTGGTACAAGGGGAGGATGCACTCAGATACTAACATGATAGTGCGTTTCAGCTCTGATTCTCTAATGCTAAATATTGAAATGTTCTGTCAATCCAATAGGTGGCATTTAAACCAATAGCCACAGCAACAACACTGACGCACACATTCCTTACATCATCAATGCCAGTCGATTTAATATACAATGAGTCGATAACGGGGTCTATAAACATGCGTCATCTGCAAACACCACTCAACTTACACCAACATAGTTTGTGTAGTTCAGCACGCTTGGGTTGATTTCCAACAGCATATCACATGTCTGTGCATTTCCAAACATCGCCGCGTAGTGTAGTGGGGTGTTGCCATCATTGCATCTGCGATGGGATTGCGGGAATGATAGAGACAGACTCATTTTAAGACAAGTTAAGGGAATAGATTCAGAGCAGAAAAATGTTTGGCCCTAAAGTTCATTGTATGAGCGAATGGAATTCAATAACGGGTGGCATTTAACAAACTCAAACGCGTCACTAAACAAGCAAAATTTCTAAAGCTCCGAGCTTATGTCTCTCTCCCGTGCAACTCTTCCCTGTGTTCCTTGCCACTCCTTCTTACAGTTTAATCTGAATCAAAGGAACAGTAGACTTACACAGCTTCACCATTTTACTTGTACTAAGATTAACATCTGTAGTAGAAGGCTTAATGTTTTTCCGAAGTTCCACTGCTCCTTTCCACGAATGGTGAAACCTTAGCTGCTTGTTATAACCGTGGTTTCAATGTATATGTATTTCACAAAAGCACATTCTCAGTGGCAAAATAGCTTATACTTGTGCAAGAAACGGTCACCATAGCTATCCTTGTATCATCCCTCCTGATCATCGTATGTCATGTATTTAAACGCACTAACTGTGGACGAGCTTGACTTCATTAATTATTTTTAGTCCACCCTCCCTTTATTAGGTGTTACGGCTCAGTTGGCATGCGTGGAACCTGTGAGATCACATACAATTTAACATCAGAAGATCAATCACACTAGCCTTCGTGAAACTGTACTTATTGTCCGTCGCCATATCTCTGATTTACATCAACAGCAAAATATAACCAATAGGTAGTTAGTTGATGTAAACACTGCCTCCTGATACGGTGGCTAATCACTGCCGGACTGCTGCTCATACCGCACAAATTTGACCATTCAGGTGTTATAGCAGAAATTCCCAACCTTTATTCATCTGTGGCCTCTTTTTGAACCTTACGACTTCTCATGTCCCCCACCTAATATCACCACAATTTCAGCAATCCACAACGTCTAATAAAGCAAACCTGTGCTTTTCAATGGTGATATTGGTATGTTTTTTATGATGGCTAAATTTTTAATATTGATACCAATGCTCTTTTTCCTATACTTTACAATTTTTAACTTCACAATAGCAAGATAACATTCTTCGAGACAATCTCAAGCCTCTTCTCCGAAACTACACAATGTCGTCATTAATATTTAACGTTGTATTTAATTGTTGTTAACTTTTAACTATAAGATATATGGTGAAATAATGTATTAACCTAGTAACACTAAGTCCGTAGATATATTAATCCGAGCATTGAACCTGATGTCTTTGAGCAAGCTTGATTATGTCCGGCTCCAGAATTGATAGTGAGAATGGAAGATCACTAGCTGTGATATTCAAACTGTTTACACTTTCGGTTAGCGCAACCACTCTGCTGAATCAACATTCAAGCAATTATGCGGATGGGAAAGCAAAGTAAAATATTTCATCTATTTCCCACAGTCTGTGATATTTGTATTAAGCGTCACTCTTTATCCGAGAACTCCTTTTACATAGCGTACATTTGGATCTTGCTAATGTGTAACTTTGAAGCGCTATGAGACTTTCCTGGATCTTAACTCCAATATTAAATGGATTTAAAACCCAACTCAATATTTCCCTGTCAATCAGGTCACGAAACCTATGTTTCATATTTTTCGGATTTCTTGTAAATGACTGGCATAAACAATCAAGTCTTCACCCTTCAGCTCTTCCGTGAATCTAACAAGAATTGGGCACTGTGAAAATGCCCTACGTTCGATATTTTGAGGGTACGCTTCAACTTTTTCGAGACAAACGATAATGGCCTCTTTACTCGAGGTGAGATTACTAAACTTTCCTTGAAGAGTTTTATTTAGTAAGTAGAGTTTTTAAAAATATAAACTAGATAAAACACCTCTAACTTAGCTGTTACCAGTTTTATTTCGTAATCATTTCCAGAAAGCAGTATAATGGTGTTCCAGAATGCAACAAAACGGCGGAAACAGTTTCCCTTGGAGCGCCACCTAACTTCTGTATGAAACAAAAGAAAATGGAATTATTCACTGTTCTCCTTACACAACTTCTGGGAACAAGGCTTAAAGCACCCAAAGCTTGCTAGCAACGCATTTGATTATTATGAGTATTTGATATTGTTGGCTACTATTATACGTTAACAATCAATCATTTAAATGCCCTCTCAACTTTTTAGCTACTAGATGCTCTCGACGCATCACACAATGAATTGTATGATCAGAAGTGAGAACATTTTTAGATGGGCGATAAATCCTTCATTTCTTCCGACTATTGTGGAAGCACCTTCGAATTCGTTCTGCATCTGAATGGAATTTTCAGTTAGATAGCCACTGACTACATCGGATAGACTGAGCCTTCCTAGGAAATTTAATTCTCCTATCAAACAGCGCCTCTTCCACTAATTCATTTTCATTGAAGAATCGGACATATGTCACGATAAGAGCGTTGTTATCAAGTAAAATGGATTCATCCAGTTGTAACGAGAATTTTCTGGACTGTAGTAAAGCAACTAAGGCTGGCTTGCCGAACAACCTTGTAGTGCCAGCTACGTGGTTCGGGAATATCTTGTTCTAACAAATGGTTCGGCGGCGGTATTCCAGGACGTGGTGGGTTTTTGCCTGGTAAGCGTTGTCTATATATAATGCCACATATGTCCGTGTAACAACACTGTGACGTCGCGGATGTGACTTGCCACTAAATAAGGTCACTGCCCCTTGCCTCTCTCTGAGCGACATTGTAATTCCAGGCTGTTTGGACCCCTGGTTCTTTGCGGTCCTAAAGGCGTATAAACCACTTGTATGATCCCAGCCTCCCAACGGGTTGTGATACCCTCATATCGCCCTGCTACTTTGTAGGCTAGTTCCTGGATCAAAGGCTCGGAGTCGGGCTCCTAAGGCACCCCTTTGTCTTGAGCAACCGGGTCGTATCACGCCAACCGACGAACCGTGGATGGATTGCACTACTGCTTCTCTCTTGCTATGTTTACTGGCTTTACTGGCTCTGCTGCTGAACCTCCGTACACAGATCGTCCCACGTCCCGTTCCGCAACTGCACCTAAGTCTTCCCCGGTCACCGTCAACAACAGCTCCCTGGTCGCATCTGACAGAGTTTTGAGCCAAACGATTGTTGTTCGCTGCCAGGCGGTCACAACATCCTCCAGCTCAACAGAAGCCCAAGCTTTTCTTCCTCCTGGTTCTGCATTCGGCCTTGCAACATACAATGTGTGAACTCTGATGCAGATCGAACGACAAGCATGTCTGCCCCACACTCTTGAGACACTCTCGGTGGATATCTGTTGCCTTTCCGAAACCAGGTTGCAAGACGCCAGTACCGTCATCAGAATGACATCTCCGACAAACCCTGACGTCAATTACCACCTGCGCCTATCCGGAGACCCAGAGGTCGTCGCTTCTGGCCAAGCTGGTATCGGGGCTGCACTGAGTGACAGGGCTGAATACGCTTTGCTTGACTGGATCCCAGTCAACAGTCAGCTATGTGCAGTCAGATTATGCGGTCCAGGTAACTTAGGTAAGTATCGAGATGTTACGCGTGCATTACTTGTCATCGTCGCCTGCGCTTCTAAAGACTGCAGCCCGGATGTAGTCAAGGATTGCTTCTACCAACAGTTACATGAGCTTTTGAGTTCCACTAAAAGTCTGACATTCTCGTTCTTGCGGGAGATGTTAACGCACGAGTGGGCCGCTTGCCGCCAAGCGAGCTTCACGTTGTGGGTAGTTTTGCCTACCTAGCAGCCGATCAGACAGTGGTGAGATACTACTGATCCATTGTTTTGCTCACTGCTTGTTTCTTTCCAGTTCACGTTTTCGTTATTCCAAAAGGCAGACAGCTACTTGGCGTTCGAGTTCTCAAACACAAGAATGGACGCAGCTTGTCCACATATCAATAAGCTACAGATGGCGCAGAAGCGTAACAGACTGCCAATCGTACTGGTCAAATTGCCTGGATGCCGAGCACGCACTGGTTTGCGCGAAAAATTTGCATGCGTTTCGGAGGATCATCCAAACCTAGGCATTACCGATCGAACGTCGAAAATCTGCAACCTCCTGCGACGTTAGCCAAGTGTCCGACATCTCTGTCAACACTACTTGCTTCATCCTCTGAAGGTGGTCTCAATTCACAATGGATTCGCATCAAAGGCGCTTTAATTGTTGATAGCACTCTCCGTGGTGTATTTGCTTGCCACCCACCAAGAAGTTGGAGCACCACTGCCTCCTTGTCGTTAAAGTACAGACGCCGCTTGATCCCAGCCGACACAAGCTGTAGAGAGGAACACCGATCCCTGGATCGAGCGTTGCGTAGGAGCTTACAGAAGGACCGTGAGACCTGGTAGCATAAACATGCTAGAGAGCTTGAACTTGCTAATCTCACTGGTAATACCAGAAAACTGTTCCATCTCATTCGAGTCACCGAAGGCTTCCGATCAGGAATAATCTAAATAATCTGCAAAGATGATGGCCCCCTAATCACTAACCTTCAAAAACGGTTGGAGCGATGGGCCGAACGTTTTAGCTTTCAGCTTTCCTGGCCGCCAGCTCCATCTGTTTCCACTGGTGATGTGTGGATAATCCTAACTGATCCTCCCTCACACCAAAAAATTTAGAGGTAACGCTGCTGTCTAAAGCAATATAAGGCATTCGGCCCTGATGGTCTACCTCCTGCACTATTTAAAGATAGGGGTTCTTAGCTGGTTCCAGACCATACCGCTTTGTTCTCAGAAGTTTGGGCGAAAGAGGATGTTTCATTATCCTGGATGAAGATGCTAATCGTCCCCATCTTTAAAAAGGACCTACGCACAAATTGCTCCATTTACAGTGGCATAGATTTGGGTCGCGTCGTTTGCACGACTCTGGTGTCCATCATTTTTCGCAGGCTATCCCAAACGCGTGAATCACTAAAGGGAGAAGAATAGGCTGGGTTCCGCCGTGGTCGCGGCTGCATCGATCAAATATTCACTTTGCGCCAGATTCTCGAGCTGCGCCATGTGTGGCAAAAGCCAACGATTGTTATGTTCTTGGACA